CAATCTTTACCAAACTTTTGACCCCGGACGAGCCCCCATTTATCACAAACTGGCTCAGGGAATGTGACAAAACGGGAGTAATTTATGAAACTAAGGTTAACAACAATTATAAGACAAAAAGAAGCAGGGTGGAGGCGAGCTGTAGAAAGAGATCATGGGTCAGCTGACGACCCTCCCATGTCAGCCAATTTGCCTGCTGAGGTTTGCAGGACAGTCTCCAAGGCCATGGAACAAACGCTGAGAATTATTTGCAAATGCTAATGGACCCAGGTTTTTGTCTGTTTCCCTCCTATGTGTTTTCGGGGGGGCCTCCGTCCCCTCGTCCAGGTCATTCTGTCTCCCCAGACTTTTTCTCCTCCAGCATCTCTGTCCAGGGTTTTGGGGGTATACTCACACATTTAAGTCATTCCCATGGATTAAACTCCCTACCCTGCCTCTCTTCCCTCCCCCCTCCTCCACCCAATTGCTCCTCCCCTTCTCATCCAGGTCGCGTTCGCACCAGGAGACAAAGCTCGGGCAGCGTGGGCGGGGCCAGTACCTCAGTGGTGGACAGTAGGGGCCGCAGCCGAGCCAAAGTTGTCTCCCAGTCCCAGCGTATGTATATATGCACCTCACACATGCTCTCATATGGTGAATTAAAATCAGTCACATTCAGTATCAATCAGCTTTCAGTGTGCGTACTGCATACCAGTCTCATATTTCAGTATGATCTCTGCCTGCACTGGCTTTCAGATCATACTACATGTTTTTGCTGTTTCTTGTATGTGTGTGTGCTGTTTCTCATGCGCTACAGCAACCTAAAAAAATAAGTCACTCACAAATCTTGTGTGTGTTTGTGCAATTGCGCCAACTGCATGCACTGTTCTCATGTTTTCAGTATCTAAGTGTGTGTGTGTCGGTTTCTGTATATTGAGATCAGTACACGTCCGGGAGTGCATGCTGGGTAAAGTCGATAAACATAACCCCTTCTGTCTCATTTTGACCGTTCTCCACCCTGTCCTGCCTCTTGCTTCCATCACCCAGGATCCAGATCAGCCAATCCCATCAGTGGTAAGGCCTCAGCTTCATCCACTCACGAGCCCCCCCTTAGCACACAGAGCTTTGCACGCCTGTCTTTTAGCCTTTCACGTTTCTTTCTCCACGTACAGTAGCAGCATGCTCCGCTCATCACATTCAGATTTTTATTTCCCCCCCACAGTTTGAGAAGCGGAAAGTCGGAAATGTTTGCCGTCTGCCATTTTGTTGTCTTTGTAGTCTTTGTTTTCACTGTTGTTGTATGTTCCCATTGGTGACTTGTGCCACAGTAAATGTCTCCCCACCAGCACACTTGGTTAGAAGGAGGATCCAGCACCCCCCCACCCACCTTGTGTGTGTCCAGGCTGTACACTGCAAAAACAGCCCTTCTAGAAACAAGCCAAAGTTCTTAAATATAATAATTTTTTTGCCAATGATGTAAGCCATTTTTTCTTGGCTAGAATTCTTAAAACTGACTGTAATAGGCCTCAAAACTAGAAAAAAATAAATATTTTGGTCACTTTATTGAGCTAAATTTGAGAATTTGTACCTTAATCTTAAGTCATAATTTCTTCAAACACTGGGACAAGACGACTTCCTCGTAAACTGAGAAGTTGTGCAAGTAGTCTAATGATCTTGTTCCTCTGCTGGGATATTATGCAAACCATTGTTGTTCCAGGTTAAACATATTATCTGCAATATCTTATTAAGACACAGTTAGATATATTTTCTTAAAACAAGATTACTTTTCTAATGCAGCACATGTTTAAGAAGATAATTTTTTTTTTTTAGACAAAAAATAAGACTCATTTCCCCAAAACAAGGCTTCTTTACTTTCTTGAGTTTCCGTTTTTGCAGTGTAAAATCTGTAATTGTTCATTCAGATTTAATTTCCTGTGAAGTTCTGTTTGCCTCCAGCTCCTGTGTTGTCACTGATATAGTATTTATTCATTTTGAAATCCAGAAAACGTAAGTTGAGTAGAAGAAGGCGTTACAGTAGTTACCTGTTGTGTTTCTGCGCTGTCCCCACAGTGTTGGAGCTTTTGACACAGGGCTTGTGTTTTGAGATTTGACTCAATCCAAGCATGTTTTTAAAGGTTGTACCACTCCCTCACTTTAATCCCAGCCAGTGTATCAGCCACTCTGAATATCATCTAACCAACGCTATTGCTCGTCTTCTCTCTCTCTCTCTCCCGACAGCCGGCAGTCGCTCCAGCTCCCCAGGCAAGCTGCTCGGCCACAGCAGCTACGGTCGGGTCCCTCGAGCCACGGTTTCGGCCGCCACCACGCCAGCAGACAAGCGCAGCAGGATCCCTCGCAGCCAGGGCTGCAGCCGCGAGACCAGCCCCAGCCGACTGGGCCTCGGTAAGCTCGGGCTGCGACACACACTGCTCACAATGCTAGTTGTGTAAGCAGTGCATTCAATTAGGTTGAAGCTTGTACACACTTAAGCACATTTCTGTCTTCAACTTAACATTCCTCACAGGTATATTCTGACGTGTGACTGTTTTAGTAGTTGAAAACATCTGTAGACGAGGGTAAACACTCTTATTTGAACCTGAGGTTGAAACCACAGACACAGTGGAATCCTGTCTGTAGAAAGATTAGTGTTTGGTAGCGAGGTCGGCTAACGTTGGACAGAAACCCGAGCAGTCATACCTCTCCTCTCCACATTTACGTTCAGTTTCCAGGTTTGTCTTGATAAGAGGAAACCGATCATGTTCCTCCTGTTTTCACTGTTTTAACACAATTTGATGTGTTATGTTCTTAATATCTAAGGTAGAAACCCTTTTTAATCTGTCACACATTAACAGAAGCTTGAGTTGCTCTTCTGAGTGTATCTAACCTTACTAGCAGTATGCTGTTTGACCAGCTCACTCACCCAGCATCCTGCCACTGCTTCTTTCTCTTGTTTTACTGTGTCTCCTCTTCTCTTCAGCTTCATTTCTTCTTTATCTTCTCTACGCAGACAGACACACTGGTTTCTATTTAGGGATATGATGTATCAGATAATATATATTATATATACATTAGCCTAAACTATTACTTAAAGGCTTAACTAAACATAGCCCATCTCCCCTCTATGGCTCCCTGTGCCTTTGACAAAAACCGATATGCAAAGGACTTTTTTAATAATTAAATTTATCATTGTTGTCGTCAACTAAAATGCCTTTGCTGAATGTCAGTAGCGGAATCTCCCAAGCTAGGCTAGCTATGGACTCGAAGTCCAAATAGAGAAAAGACTTGGAGTAAAATAGAGAATTTAATAGTGTGTGGACAGATTAATCATCATTATAAGGTTTAAATATGTTTTGTGGCTCCAGGCAGATTTTGTATTTTCTAGTTTTTTTTGCTGATTATCAGGATAATATCGGTAATTGCAATTATTTTGACCAGGATAATCGTGACATGAAATTTTCACATCATCCTATTCCTACTGAGCACAATCACATGTTCAAGGACATAAAGCATATATTAAACGAATTTAATGATCTTAAATGATCATGTCAACCTAATATTAGCGCCACCTTAAAAGCCAGGTATAATGACATCAAAATCACCATTTTCTGTAAAGTGAATATTGCGTCCTCGAGGTCTTCTTCTCTTTCAATCTTCTTCTCTCACAACCTCAGCCTCCTGTTCTTCTCCTCATTTCTGATCCACATTCCCCCCCATGAATGCCCACTGACATTCCCACCTAACTTGTTGTCCTGACAGCCAGCCTGTGTGGTAAAGCTCTTCTTCCTGCTGCTCTTCCCTACCGCACGCTAGCCCGGAGCCGCATTCCCCGGCCCAGCATGAGTCAGGGTTGCAGTCGCGACACCAGTCGCGAGAGCAGCCGCGACACCAGCCCCGCTCGGGGCTTCGCTCCTCTGGGTGAGTAATGAGCTAATGGCTACCGGACTTCCTCTCCCAGTGAGTGTCCCAGCCGGACAGTCTTTACCAGATGCTTACACGAGCCTGCCTCCTGTTGTTGGTGTTGTTTGTAGTGTCTTATGGCCGTGCGACCTCTGCCTGTCTTTCTCTGTGCATGCACTGACTCTGGGTTTACTGATATCTCTGGGGGATACAACTTACTTTTAACCTCCTGTCGGGGTTTTAAGATGGTATAAATGACAAAGTACCATCTTTTTTATTTATTCTGGACTGTTTTAAGTTCATGTGTTTGAATGGTTTCTGAATGAGTCTGTGTACAAATGTGATTTGAAGTTGTCATTAAAGATTAGGCCTTTTCCACCAACAGGGAACTGGCTCTGTTTCGGTTTGCGCACCTAGTTTCGAACCGTTCAAAGCATTTTCACCAAAAATAAATTGGTTCAAAACCCAAAAAGTTAGTTCCCAACTGGAACCAAAGTGGGCGTGTCATATTCTATAGGGGGTTGAACATTGGTACATCCTTCATTACAATGGTTCCACTTAAAACTGGTGGAAAGGCAGGCTGCTTTTGCTAGATAAAGCCAAGGTAACCAGTTCAAGAACCAGAGCTAATTTAGTGGAAAAGCACAAATAGAGGAAGAAGTTTGAGCAACAGAAATGGCAAGGAGTCAGTGTTCCTGCAACCAATGCACAGTACAGTAGTGCTTTTATAGTTCTTGGCTATGGCATGCTGGGAAATAACTCTGCAAGTATTTCTTCATGATTAAAGTGCAGCTTTAAGGAGGATGAGTATGTCACCTCGTGCCTCAGAGCCAAGCTTAAGGACTGTCAGTGGTGATAGCATAGCATAGCTTAGAAACGAGTTGAGTTCAGTTAGTCAGTTAAGCCTCATTTATGTTCTAAAAGCAGACAGATTGTTAAATTACACATCTTGTGGCCGTATTTTATTCTGAACAGAGACACACTGTTTTGCACTCTCATTATGTTATATAATGTTGGTTTAGGTCCCCCTACTGTTCTATACTGTATATCCGAATGTATTTCATCTAGTTGTGACCATTTTCACACTGCAGAACTAACTAAAATCTCTGTAAAGGCCAAGTGGAGCCACTCGTAATTGGTTTTTTTTTTAGTCAGCAAGTTCATTTAAAAGATTTATAAACGAGCAGTGATGTTGAGAGATCTTCCGATACCATTTCTTCCTTGCCGATACCAGAAATATGACATCACATCCTGTTTTGAGTGCCTTGTACAGGAAGTTGTTCCTTCATAAATTCTTTGTAAAACTTTTGATCAGGACCTATTCTCCTACGTCATATATCAATAATAATTTATTAACAGAAAGAGACCATGCAGTGGAATCTGATGGTGAGTGCAGCAGTGTGAAAATGAGTCTTACCTTTAAAAGGTTTGGTGTTAAACCTGTCTGTCACTAACCCCCATGGTCCGGATGTCGCCCACCTCTACTGTCCCCCGCAGCCTCCCGACGTCACTCCCGCTCAACCAGCGCTCTCTCCACAGCCGATCCCCACAGCCAGTCAGGTGACCTGCATGCCCAGACCTCCCAGTCCCTCTCGCCCCCCTCCCCAAAACGCCCTACCTTAGAGGCAGTAGTGCCCGCATGCTTCAGTGGTTGTGCAGCGTCATCCCATTACTTTGTGTTCCCTCCAGTATTTTTGAGCATTTTATTCAGTGTTAAGCAAACAGGAAAGGTAAGAATTGAGTTGTATTTGTTCAGCATGTAAAGAGAAACATTATTTTTTCATCCACTTTCAGTGCCTTATACATACTTTTTGCATTTTAGCTTTGGTTTCGTGGAATTGTGATCTACAGCCTTTTACGTGCTGACTCGGCGTACCTCCATGTTTTTTGTCATCCTTGTTGTTTTATATTTTGGTTTCTCCTCTTTAGTGCATCGTTGGAGCATTATATCATTCATCTTCCAGGGGAACGGCATAGCTGCAATGTACATGCCTGTGCTCTTCCCTAAGGGCTTGGTCATTCTTTTTTGGGGGTTTTCTTTCGTATCATCTTTTCATTTTCATTTTCTTTCGGTGGTTGGAGAATATTCCCCTCTTGTGGTCTTTTCAGCTCATTCATGTACAGTGCATTGCTTTATATCCAAACTTTCTTTATGTGGTAAGAAAATAATCCTTTGCTTTTGTCCACTCAGGTAAGTCACAGCAGCCATGTTTCTTTATCACTAAGCTTCACTCACCGTCTTCCTTTTACCTTTTTCTTTTTCCTGTTCAGACCGATATAATTTGATTCACCAAGCAAGAATCTCTGCGTCAGTCAACGCCATGAGGGTGCTTAACACAGGCACAGAGGTGGAGGCAGCAGTTGCTGATGCTCTGGTAAGTTGCTTTTGTAAATGTCATTATGGAAAGAATCCCTACAGGGATAGTTTAACTAGAAACACCTGGAATATCACTATCACTCTCCACCAGACTCCA